CAAAATATCACTAATGCAAGAGTTGCCATATTCAGTCAGAGCTCAGTATTCTGCCTCCAGCAGTGGTCAGCACTGACTGTAACAGAGATCTTTCTAAGTAGAAGCATACTCTGGTTTTAAATTGAATTAAAATTTAAAATTATTTTAGATTTAAAATATAATTTTAATTTGATTTGAAATTTAAACTCATTTTAAATGTAAATTTCCTTTACTTTCATGATTGTATGTGCTTTCTATTTAGTATAAGACGGTGATGTGCTGGTATGCAGTAAACATTAAGTAATTCAGAATTTTTAATAAACCCCATTGTAGTAAAAGAATGAAGTGATAATTATACTTAGCTTTCAGTCTTATTGTTTGTTCCATAGCACAAATTGTTTTGTCAGGCCAAAATGGTAATTTTTCTCTATGGCATGGGAATTTTGAAGCATGTTTGTACATGCTCAAAACCTAAGAATGTTTCTCTTCAGTATTTGGCACCTAGAACTTCATTTTCTTTCCTGCAGTACTGCTCTTGTTTTAATGGAGAGAATTAAAGTGCTTCTCATCATTTGTTTTCATGATAGCTTTGGGGAATGTAGGTGAAGCTAATTGCCATTAATATTCTTTACTTACCTTCATTTGTATTCATGTCCTCCCAGATGGTCCATCCAGCAGCATTTTTCTATCACTGACCATTTCTCACTGCAGAGCAGGAGAGCTGTACTAGGAGCAAAGAAATCAACAAACAAATAAAAAGAAGAAATAACATCTTTTATATTTCATGCTTTGTGAGTCTCCTGTGGAACCAGTACATGACCCATCTATACACAAAAGGAGAAAATCTATAGAAAAATGAGATTCACTGAATGTTCTTCTGTGTTTTTCAGATGTGCACCGCAAACCCTGCAAGCTGACCATTAACTCTAGTTTTCCAGGTGATCTGAGACAGGGTTTAAGAGGTTTTCCCAAGGCAAGGTAACAAGTCTCTGACAGAATTTGTTGTGATAAGAGGATCAGAGGTGTTTTTTGCATCAGGTTCATTTCCAGCCAAGTGGATTTGCCCATCAGAATGAGTGTGAGAAACAGTACCTCTGTTTTCATGCCTGTAAAATGATCTGTAGGTGAAATCACTTTCCCAAAGCTCTTGAAGCCCAGGCATATTTGCTTCTGAAGCTCACCTTGGGGTGGTTTGGGGTGGTGCTAGCCATCCCAGTGACTAATATTTTGACGGTACAGATAGGTAAGTTCAGGTGTCTCTTCCTGGTACTTCTCTATTAGTATATGGAGGCCCTTTCCTCTGAGCCATGAACTCTACCTCCACGCTGGTCCTCAGAGTCAGGTTCTGCTCATCATGCTGTCCTTTCCTTGGATTTGCCTCTTCTCACCTCATTCCCACAGCCTGCCCTCCTTACAGTGCTACTTCCTCCAGCACCTCTGTTAGAGGGCTGCTCTATGGATCCCTTCTTTTGCCAGGGCTCACAGCAGTGCTCTGCACCCTGCCCCATGCGTGCCCCGTGGCTTCCTTCTGCTGTCCCACCTCTGCTTCCCGGAGGAGGGAAATTGCTGCAGAGGACACAGGCAGGTAAATTTAAAGAACTTCTTCCTAAAATTAGAGAACTTCATTCTCTATGCATGCTCAGATGTCTCCAAATTTGGTGTTCTCAGTCTGAGTTGGTCACACTTTGGGCGGAGGAGGAGAATAGAAATTCAGGGTGCAATTCAGGAGGGGTTTCAGTGACCCATGAAGACCCCAGCCCCAGCAGCTCAGCTGAGCCTAGAGGGGCACAAGGGTGGCCACCCCTAACTGGGACCATCAGGAGCCCCAAGGCTCCCCAGAGGGATGTGGCTGGGTGCCCTGGGTGCTGTATATAACAGGGGAGCCCAGCTTCCCTCTGGTGTGGCTGCTGGACCAGCCAGGTCCAGTACAAGTGTAACTCTGCTGGCTGTCTCTGAAATTTCCCCGGTGGAGTTTCTTCCCCTTATCAACTACTCTGAGTAACACCACACGGAACTTCACTTGCACCTGGTAGTTTCTCCTTGGGGAAATGTCTCCCCAGGTGTTGCTTCCTTCCAGAGAATCAATGTCAGAAATTTCTGCTGCTGGTTCTACCTGAGGCAGCAAATTTCCCTGGAGACTTGTCTCTGCTCCAGCCTTATTCATCCCCAGGGCCCTCACTGCCTGGGAGCTTGGCAGGAATGGCTACCTCCTGGGTGTTAAACCTTATCATCTTGTGCTAAATTTGCCTTTGTACCACAGCACTGAACAAGTTCCCACAGAATCACATCGTCAGGATAGCAGAGACTGGCAGGGACCTCTGGAGGCCATCTGGGCCAACCCCCCTGCTCAGTCAAGGGCACATAGGGCAGGTTCTCCAGGGCCATGCACAGATGGCTTCTGAAATATCTCAGACATTGAATATTATCCAAGGAAATTCTTAGCACGTTAGGCATTACTAAGTAATAACTATTTAAATGCATATACTGAGTCTGTCTGGGACGGAGCTAATTTTTTTCATAGCAGTCCATATGGTGCTGTGCTTTGGGCCTGGAGCTACAAGAGCACTAATAGCACACTAGTGCTTTGGCTATTGCTTTCTCTTTATTCCCACTCTTTCCCCACTGGAGGCAGACCCCCCAAGTTTGTTTTTTTTTTCCCCACAAGTGGGCAAGAGGCTGGGAGGGGGCACAGCTGGGACAGCTGACCTGAACTGGCTAAAGAGACCAGTATACCATATAACCATGTATACCTATACCATGTAACATCATGCTCAGCAGCAGAAACTGGGGGGTAGAGAAGGAGAAGGTTGGATTTTGGGCATCGGAGGTGGCTGTTTCTCATAGACAGACCAAGCATCAATCTGCCTGGGGAGGTCATGAGTGATCGCCTTTGCATTGCTTGTCTTTTCTTCCCTCTTCCTTTACCTGCTAAGGTGTAGGTTATCCCAACCCACAAGTTTTCCCACTTTTGCTCCTCCTATTCCCTCCCCATCTCACTGGGGTTGTGGGGGAGAGTGAGCAAGAGGCTGTATGGGAGCTGAGATGCTGGCTGGGGTCAATCCACCACAGTGCACCACAAGCGCTATAGGGCAGCACTAATGCCTCAGGGATTCAATTTGTCTTTATGGCCAAGACAGAGAAATTAGCTAGAGTATTGTGAAGTTTGCTTATTTTAGGCATCTATCTTTGAGTAAAATTACTTTTCTAGTGTCTGCCCATCTCCACAGGTAATGTGAGTGTAGTTCAGTCCAGCTCTAAGCCCGTGTTCTGGGTCTCTACATTTACTCAGAAAAATGCCACCCTGCAGTAATCTGTCAAACTATGCAGCCATTCTTTTCTAATGGCTGCTCACTTAGGCCTTCACTGAAATGATCGTGCTCACTGCAATCTTATCCACCATGTGATTTTGGTTAGAGCACACTTACAGTTTGCACTTCTCTGTATCCTTTACAAGACCTTCCATGCTCAGTGACGGCTCTGCTCTGAATAATAAGTATCTGACATTTCATGAGGTTATTTAAGCAGGACATGTCTATGATCTTGAAGCAGCTGGAAGGACTTGCCTATAGAGACATATTTACAGACTTATTTCTGTATTTGTTTGAGCAGGGGTTATGCTAGTATTTGGATTTTTCTCTCAACCAAGTATTTGATGAGACATGGGCTGGTGATAGGGTTGTTCAAGTTTTTTTCCCAGTGTTGAATCTTGTGAACTGAAGCTTCTTTCTTGCACTTGTGCCACTTTCTTGAAAGAGATTTCAAGTCTATTGAAATCTCCCCAGCTTCCTGCACTTTCATCTAGTGCACAGTACACAAGTTCCATGAGATCCTGCAAACATTTTTTCTTCAAGCGAGACTCATCTTAGGAGCAAAACAGACCTATGGCCAGCAGGTGGTTCCTGTAACCACATCCTTTTCCTTAAAGCTGGCTTTTTTTTTTCTTCTTGTTTTATGTATGTTTATTTGCTTGTTAGTGTGTGTGTGTTGGGGGTAGCTGTTTTTGTTTTGTTCTGTCTTATTCTTTTTGTAGTGGTCCATTTCTCTAACTCATATGCTTTTATTAAGTCATGACAAATGCCAGCTGTCTAGCTGACCTGTCACCAGCCTTTTAAGATCTGCCTGATTGTTCTTCAGGAGGTTTACACAGTTATAAAACATGCATAGCAAGGATACAATTTCTTGTCCTTCCTTAAATAGTAGCTTCAAACTGAGCTCTCAAAACCCCCACCATGTTCATACAAAATATATGCAATAACTACAGATTTGAAAAGAGAGAATTGCTGACGACTGCACCTAGTGACTGGCAGCAGAGTTTTCTATTTTGGAACATTTGGGAGCGACACCACCAGTCTCTCAGTCTTCCGTGCTCGCGCCTGCACAAGCAGTAACAGCCTGCAGGCACAGCCTGTGTGTGTTGTCACTCATGTGTCCTTGCAGCCCTTCATCCTGGTGTGCTGGCAAGGTCCTTGGCAAGGCTCTGTCGCCAGGACTTTATCTTTCTGTGCATTTGTTTTCAGTTTGAGAGAAGATCCCTGCACAGGTGTTATTCATCCGTCCAGGGGGGTCCATCTCAATGACTTCTTAGATGTCTCGGAGCCATGTTGACATGTTCTTTTGACACAGAAGCATACAAATGCAAGCTGTGATATCAAATATTGTGATACTTCCCTCCTACTCAAAATTATGGTAACATCTAATACTGGAATAAAATGTAAGCAACTCCAAGAAAAAATATTTTATAGATTTTTGTTTTTGAATATTTTATGGTTTAAAATGCATGAATGATTCTTGTTGCAGGGACATGGATTCACATTAATTCCTTCTTATTTCAGTGCTGGAACTGCTAGAAGGCAAACTGCTTTTCCTTCAGGAAGCAAAACTTAATTTTTCAGAGTGCTCATTAACCCGCAGGTGACAAAGGATCTTGTTATATTATCTGTCCACTGGCAAGGCAATAATTAAATAAATAAATAAACAAAAGGTATACACTCAAGTGCTTGTTAAAAACCAAAGTTACAGTATAATTGTCTTGCTTGATATTTTATTAGAATAACAAGAAAAGTTCATCACAAATTAATCTCCACAGTTGCATGCTTCAAATAATTACAAAATGCTTCTTTTGCACAAAAATTGTTCTTCCTTTTTTGGAGGACTACATTTATCAGTGGTATAGTTCGCAGAATATGTACTGAACAATTTCACAATCATATTAATAAACAACTTTATAAGCCACATGCAGTAACAGAATGAGATCAGAATTACTCTGGGTAGGAGGAAAAGAGAATCCTTCTAAATCAGCTGGACTTCCATAGTTTTTAATTCAAATTTCCAGAATTCATCTATAAAATGAAGGAATTCAGGAATTCTGGCATCTGAGTCGCATAAACTCAACCTATTTATTTACTCACTGTTATTTACTGTATCAGTATATCTGAGTAGTAATGGAGGAACCAGGAGAAAAAAATCTCTTATTGAAAACAACAAAACATCAACTAAATAATTCCTTCTCAAAAAGTAGAAACAAAATGGTGAAAGATCATTTTGAAATTTCACTGCAGTTTGAAACAAATAAACAACTATACACAATAGTATTCATACAATAATAGAGAAACAAATAAGTGTATGCAGCACTGTTGAAAGGACACTTTGGTTTTGCACACTCTTGAAACGTTTCTTTTTTTCCCTTCTTTCTTTCTTTCTTTTTCTTTTTTTTTTTTTTTTTTTTTTTTTCCCACATGGTGAAAATGAAAGATTGATGTTGTTTTGCTTTGCTTTGTTTGTTTGTTTGCATTGTTGGCTTTTCAAAAACAAGTGAGAAATGCCCGTCTTCTTGCAAAGGCTGAGTGACTGATCCTGTGTAGCACAAGAGCAAGGCAGCAGCTCCTGAAGTAGAATCAGTCTTTCCGTCAGTTGTATTGGACAGTATCCTTTTGAAGGGAAGCTAGTGATAGCTTTATCATTAGTCTTGTACAATTCCTTTCCACAACTTGTGTCATTCATTTCCACAGCAGCATCATAAACACCTTCACAGTATTGGAGCTGCTTGGACACTCCTTAACTCTGACCTCCAAGAGGCCATGCACTAATTTTAACTGAAACACGCTTTAAATACACCTAACCTCTCTGAGCTGCACAGTGCACAATTTACCAGCACTGAAGCTTGCAGCATCTCACTATGTTACACTGAAAAGAGTGTAGCTCCAAAACCAAGAACCTACAACAATATATCTTCTGTGAATTATTGGGTAAATTTCCAAATAAAAATTAAAAATTAAAAAATAAATAAATCTGTAAAAACCCCATCTCTTACATCAAAACCATTACACGAGGATCCAGACATGGATTTCAATAGTGCTACCATTCAGACAATTCTTTCAAGCTAAACGTTACAGAGGAATTTGTTATGCACAAAATATGTATATAAATAGTTACATTACTTCAGTCAGTAGTTGACATCCAGCCACTTTCACAACTAGCAAAAAATATGCTATAATATTATCACTAAAGTTAAAATCACACAAGTTTTTAAATAAAGTCCCACATATCTAATCTATTATGCTCAGATACAAGAAAAAAGGTTGGTTGCTGTTATAAACAGAACAAACATAGAACTAGACCTCAAATCACATTAGCATGTTATCTAGCAAAGTTTCATAGCACTAGCTGTTGGAATCTGTGTAAAATTAGTAGATATTTCATGAATAACATCCATAAAGACATAGTCACAATAAATTATGAGTTAAAACTGCACCTGAACTTACTTCTGCGATTTTATATATTGTCTTTATGCACACAATTTTGTATGAATACTCATTTATGTTTGTACAAATATCAGCATAAAATCGTTCATTTTTACTTGTTATTCCAAATGAAGGTGTATACAAAATTGTCCACATAAATTTTAGCCTTTCATTGAAACCTTGCTAAAATATGGGCTTAAAAAAAGACTATAGGGACACAGACTGAGAAAGCAGAGCTAGATGAGCAAAGGAAGCTAGCTTGGAGCTACGTGGCAAAGGAAGGACAGAATTTAATTCTGATTTTTGTCAACCTGTAGGAGTTTTGTTTAATCCATGCTTCTCTGGCAGAGGTAGGGATAAATGTGTAAGCCTGTGTTGGCTAGCACACAGCTGCCTGGCTGCTGTGCATCCCCTGCCCACCCCATGGGTGGCCGCCTCCACACACATGTCCTCCAGCAGCATCCTGTGGGGCAGCTGTGAGCCATTCTACCTGACTGCATGATCAGGCTCTGCTGATCTATGTCGAGGAATTGATTCTTGTCTTGGATGTGTCTAAATAAATACAAATGCTTATGCAATGTTTCCCAGGTAATTTAGTTTTACTGTGGCAGTTGCTTTGCAGGAAGCGTTATATGGCTTGTGGTAGCTCTTTCTGACTGCCTTTATGATAGGATGCTGTAGTTTTAGGCAAGAGTGAGCAATGAAATGCCACAGAACTCAAATTTCACATTGATCTCTGAACAAGGAAAGGCTTGCTGAATGCCTATACCCCTGCTATATTGTATTTATGAAATATGATTGCTATGCACTCATCTCTAACATCAGTATTCTTCCCTTGTGACTATTGAGCCTCAGCCAGCTTTGCCCACTTGTCTGCTAAGTGATTTACTCTATTGTACCTTTTCCTTGTTATTTAAAAAGCAGAAGAATCCTGACACCCACCTTCCAGCTGTGTGGGTGTTCAGGCACTACACTGATGGCCCATTGGCCCGTTGCATGCAGTTGGTGCTGCTCATGCAGCTGAGAAGTGGCACCAGTGGAGAGGACACAGCAAAGGCTGCGGGTCAGGAAAAGGGAAAGGGAAACATGACAAAGAACTTGGAAAATTAAGAAAAGGTAGCAATGCTTTCACAGCATTTTCTCTTTCCAGACAAATATACAGCCAATCAACCTTTCAAGACACTTCTTATATCCTGCAATATTATAATGGATACTCTTTGAAAAGAAAAATGAAGAGAACTCTGACTTTTTTTTTCATTGTTTTCCTCTTTTCTGTAGGCATTACCTATACTGAAGCCATAAACCTCTTGTAGCAGCCTGAGAGACAATTACTGCTGAACTAAGATAAAATTAACTAGTAAAAACCTGTCCAGTACTCTCTAGTATATGTCAGGTTCAGAGAGGATTCAGTTTTAGCTGAAACTTATATTTCATGTGGTCCATCTCTAAACTAGCTGGCTGAAAAAAAATAAGTTTTTGAAAGCTTCCTACTGATTTTTTAATTTGTTTATTCCCTGCTGTGAATTGATTGAAGAGCCTTCATATTTCAACCTGTTCATGGTAAAAAAAAAAAAAAAAAAAAAAAAGATTTCATGCTCTTTGCTATCAGATCTATCAGATATCTGTTTTTTGAAGCATGTTATGATATCTACTGCTAGATCTGCATTTCAGTTCCAGCTGTTCTTGGGCACCCAGTGCAGTGTGAGCACTCCCAGGACATGCAGCAGCATGTAAGAAGGCTCTGTCCTGCTCTCTGTCCATAGTGATGTCCCAGGCAGCCTTGCTCTTTTGAGAAGCGTGCACTACTGTTTGGCAGTCTCCAAGTTTCTTCATCTCTTATATGTGAGGTGTAGGACTTGCATATTCCGCTGAAGTCAACTCACCTGCTTAAAGTTACATTAAGTGCTTCATTCAATTAGACTTGGCAGTATATTGCTTTAATTCCCCCCAAAATTCTGTTTCCTTGTATGAAGCAGACAGATATGTAGAGATATATGGTAACTCCAGCAGTTTTGCGAGCAGAAATGCCTTTGTATTTCATACAGGTTGGTGGGAACAGAGCATCTGAAGGATTTGTATGGCTGCATACTCAGAACAAGGTGGATCTCAGGCCTGAAAATTACAAGAGAAGAAACAAAGTAAGAAATAATTATCTTTCATCCTCACAACGTCTACAAAAAAGAAATTTAAAAAGTAAGTCGCTCTGTGGATCATCTCATTGTAAGAGCTCAGGTATACAGGCTTATGAACAGTAGGTAAGGATTGTTGCATAAAAGGAATCTTGAAATAGTGATGTGCGTTACCACACAGAAGAAATCTGGGTTAGAGAAACGTGCTACTTATGGGAACAGTACATCTAGCATGAAATGGATGTGGCTTTCCAGGACTGGAGTGCTGCTGTGTGAGATCCATGTCTTCTCTTTGTGCTAGCTCCATGGTGGCACTGGGTTAATTGCCCCCAACCTGGAGGGGGTGACACACGATAAAATGCCCCATTACTCTCCTGCAGGCAGTCAGAGCATGGCCCAGGAGGAATCGCTGAGCTCAGACACGAAACGCCACCCCTCTGCCAGACACCATACATGGGGCACCATGCCTGAGTACCACTCACTGGTGCCCCACCACTGCCCTCTGCTTCTCAGGGAGTAAGGCTCAACCTACACATTTCTTCTCATTGTTCCCCGTGACCCAGATCCTCCTGGTCTTATCATGCTCAGTGCAAGGCAACCTGAGCACCAATTTCCAGACGCGACCAGCTGTCCCTCCTCACAGTACAGTGACACTGCCCCATTTTGTGGTGCATCATTTATCACCACCAACCTTACCCTGCTAGGCCTTCACTGCTCTGCCCCACATGAAAGCTATCCCAGCACCACCTACTGCACATCAACACGATCTGCTTCATGAGGAATACTCACCAAATATCAAAAGGCATTATCTGTTACCCCAGACGACAAACACGTGTCGCCGATGGATGTTTTTGCAGAGGACAGATAGGTATTGGTGACGGTAATATCTTCTAGCTCAGTGCTGAAGTGATCAGACTCTTTGATGACGTTATAATTTAGGGCCACACTGTAACTGGCAGGTTTTTTTTCCCGCTTCTGCTGGCAGTTGCAGAGTTTCCTGAAGGCTGCTCTGAATTTCTGGGACATGAGATTGTAAATTACAGGATTGATGGCACTATTTAAATAAATACAGATTCTGCAAAATAGCAGGAACCAGTTTTCTTGAAAGGGGCTGGAAAGAAAAGAGTTGACAACCACCAGTGTTCGGTAGGGCATCCAAAGAAATGCAAATAAGACGACCACCACAGCCAGCATCTTGGTGACCTGGGGGGACACAGAGAGAGACATGAGGCGGGCAGAAAGTTACTACTCACAGCTTGGAAAAAACATGTATGTTTCTACATATCTATGGCAAACCAAAACTACTGACGGGCTTTTCAACTGTGAATTTCAGAGCCATGTTTGGTTCAGAAAGTTCTTATGTAGTAAGAAGAAGAACAACAACAATAAGCCTGGCTTCAGATTTCTCCCACTTTTTGTTAAATGACTCTTTGTAGGCTTTGCAACTCCTCAGACTGGATGAAAGTGTTTTAGGTGGAAAAAAGGGATCCCCCCATCCCCTCTTTTTTAATCACTTTAGATATCCTTTAGACTAATATGGCCTGTAAATGAATTGAACCTGAAGCCTATTTATATTATCCACTTTAACAACTGCCTTAAAAAGGTTTCCAAAAGTATTATTATTATTATTATTATTATTATTATTATTATTATTATTATTATTATTATTATTATATTATTATTATTTAAGGAACTAGATTTATTCCTAGACCATAAATCCTAATATTTAATTAGATCTTCATTATTTGTTTTTTAGTCTGAAATGTCAGTTATAGTTTATAGTTACACAAACAGAAATATAAAGGATTACAATAAAGCTTTACTATAAGAGCTTTTATCTGTTTTGTAAATTTGTCTTGAAAAAAGAAAAAAAAACAACCCTTGGGAATACCCAGGATATCTGAAATGAAGGGAATAAGAAATAATTTAAAAGTTATTAAAAAGAAAAAGAAATAAAAACAAAAAATGTCTTTCTGTTGTAAACAATTTACTGTATCACTTACATAGAGATATAGTTATGATTCTTTTTAGATACTACTTGGTAGATACTGTATATATAGTGATTGTAATCCTAACATATATAGTATGTTGTAATCTCTAGTCCCTACATTAAGAAAGCTTGAAAAGTGTTAATAAACAAGGTAGAAAGCACAGTGAAATGTGACTACATGGGAAACACACTGGGATAATACAGTGGAATGGCCCCACATAGGTCAGGAGATGATTTGGTTAACTGTGTGAGCATGAACTGGAGAGCAGTGGCACTGAGTTTGGTGAGCTATAGCTGCTACTTGTGTCTTTTTTATTATTATAATAATATATATATTACTATTTGCCTTTCTTCTTGACATAAAAATGTTGCTATCTATTGACAGAGTAGCTTGAAGAACTTCTTTTTACCTTTGCTTCAGTCATATTATACTTTATTCTTTCTACCTTGGGTACCTGAAGTTATACTTCAATGAAGTAGCAACCGCTTTAGCCACAGAATACATGCTGGCTGTATGGGTTATAATGTCATTGCTTGTAGAACTAATAGATGTAGTTCAATTAGTGATGAGTTTCAACCGATGCCCAAGGGAGACAGATAACTCCACTAAAATCACCTACATAGAGATGTTAGGTTTTGTTATGCTTCTTTTGTTTGAAGTTATACTATATATTTTATTTTCTGATCAGATAGTTCAGTATATAGAAAACATGCGATCTCATTATCTAAAGTATGGTTGTTCTTTTTTCTATCTATAAAGACACATACTAATATTACCAATTTTGTTTTTTTTTTTTTTTTTTTTGTTACAATACAGAATGGGATGAAGAGACAACTTACTCTACATATGTATCTATCTATCTTTAAATGCACATATTCAAAAATTACAGCTTGATTCTACAGTTCTCCTCTCTTCACCCCCACTTCACACCTCTACATCAGTGTTCAGTAGGAGCCAAAAATCAGACTGAGGAATTTTATCTCCCTGTTTTCTCACTTGACCAATACATCTTTTCATGACTTCTGCATAGCTTTTCTTGTTTGCTGTGCAAAAGCCATCACCAGAACAGAGCAAATCACAAATGTGAATGTCTCAAGTAGCTGAAAGATGATTTTTGCCTTATCTCTGAGTCATTTCTAGAAGGAATAGTACTTTGAGCAGGGCTGCAAGGAGTGAGGTTATTCAGTGCTGACCTGCTCTGGCTCACAAAGACTGGGGACTCCTTATCTCCTTCCTTTCCTTCCTTCAGTTTGGCCCCAGTGTGCAGCTCGAAACTGAGCAAATCCATTCAACTGAGAATAATCATTCATCATGGAATGATTATAAAGGAAGAAAGTAACCCTTTGTAGAGCTTGGATTAACAATGGGAGTGAGTCCAATTAACAGATGTGTTGTAACAGCTCTGGCATTCAGAGGAAGTGTGGGTAATAGTCTACACAGGCATCAGGATACTTTGCTACCAGAAGCTCAGCAGGGGACTTTGTTACAATACCCACTGATCAGTGGCAATTTAAATTTCTTCTGAGTATATCTTTAAAGAACAATTGCTCAGAGAATCATTTACAATGATGCAGCTGTCAGTTTGAATCCCAGGTTGTACTAGAAGCAAATTGATCATAGTTATTATCAGGAAACAGAAAGATATTCACTCATGAAATTTTAAGTCACGTAAATGATACAGTACCTCAATGGAAAAAAGGCTGTTACCCTTCAAGTCCTATATGGCAGAAAGACCATATAGGTCTTTGTGCTTCACGTATGTACTGTGCAAACTGTTAGCTAACTTTATTTGTACTTCACAGAATCACAGAATTTCTAGGTTGGAAGAGACCTCAAGATCATCGAGTCCAACCTCTGACCTAACACTAACAGTCCCCACCAAACCATATCCCTAAGCTCTACATCTAAACGTCTTTTGAAGACTTCCAGGGGTGGTGACTCCACCACCTCCCTGGGCAGCCTGTTCCAGTGCCTCACAACCCTTTCAGTAAAGAAGTTCTTCCTAACATCTAACCTAAAACTCCCCTGGTGCAACTTCAGCCCATTCCCCCTCGTCCTGTCACCAGGCACGTGGGAGAACAGGCCAACCCCCACCTCACTACAGCCTCCTTTAAGGTACCTGTAGAGAGCAATAAGGTCGCCCCTGAGCCTCCTCTTCTCCTGTGACTTTACATCCATTTTTCTTCTATCTAACATCACTAGTCTGTACTCAGCTTACTGACTTTACAATATTTTAGAACTGGTTCTTAGTACCAGATAAAAAATATCATAGCCACAGCAGAAAGTGCCCTGAGCTGAGATTGATTCAGTCTACAGGTTTGAGCGTGTTTAAAAGAGCCAAGTTAGCTTGGCACTGTCAAGCTTTAAGCCAGAGAAGACATTGTCTTGTCATAACATTTTTCAAATCACTTCATATGAAACATAACTAAATGTTCTTTTTGGAGGGGCTAATCATTTTGTCAGTGGAGTGGGACATTAACATAAAGGGCGTAAATTTTTAAAGAACATTCTTTTCAATACCTATTCTATCTAACCATACATCAAAACTCTCTGAAAGCAGAGGTAAAGACCTTTAGATCAGTCTGCAGAACACTAACGTGCCCACTAATTAGTCAGGTGAAGACAAACGTGCACTGATTGCTCTTTGCAGTACGCACTGCATATTCTATACTCAGAGTACAAATTATTCTCAGTTGAGGAAACTGAAAACACAATTATAAACCTTTGAGACAAATCAATTTTAGTCCAAATTTCAAGTCTACTTTGAATGATAGCAAAGTGTTTGAGATTGAATATGCTCCTGGCTGCATGCAACCACTCTTCAAATCTAATCTCTTGTTTCTGATAATGTTTTGAAAAAAAACACAAAATAAACAAACAAACAAAAACAACAACAAAAAACTTTTAAAATGCTTTATTTATTTATTTTAATTCTGATTTTTTTTTTTTCCTTTTTTCCTTTTTTCCTTCCTGTTCTAAAACGTTGTCATTCTAAGGGAGTGCTTCTAGAAGACATTTTCATTATGATGGTATCTGCTGTTTGGTAGTTGCTTCCTTCTCCTTTGACTGTTAACCTTTCTTACATTGGTAGGTAAAAGTCATAGTTGTACTTACTAAGTCACTGTGCAATGTAATCACTGGCATTTTAAAAGCATGCAATAGTATCTCCTGTTCTTGTACTTGGCTGTGTTCATTGATATCCCTTTCTCATGCTTGGTGGTGCTCACTGCACTGCAGAGATTTTATATGCCAGTCTGTGGTTTTGTAATCCAAAATAAGAATTGGAAGTTGCACAGTGAAGAAGAGGATTAAATAAATTAATGTAAAGTTTTGATATAATACAACTGCAAGTGAAACTAAGTGATATGATTGAGGTTTCTTGTAGCCATACAAAACTTAATCTTTCACTGCTAGCTGGAATCCATGCCTGCTCTGCTGTGAGTGAACAGAGAAGTTTTTATAGAGAGAAGTTCATCACATAGTACATCCCGTACATAGTACATCCATAGTACATCCAGTTTCACTGGAGGATAACATACAGTTTTTAATCAATCATGGAGGGACATCAGCCAAATAATGTATGGGTGTTTAGCTGCTAGAAAAGCAGTTTACTTGAGAAATCTTCTCTGATATACTTTGAATAACACATTTTCTATTCATGAAATGAAATTTTTCTTTATCTCTCATCTTTTTAATAAAAGGCTTGTGAACAGAATGCATAAAATGTGCAGTGGCACTGAATTTTAGAGAAGGGAAACTGGAGTTGTCCTTCAGCTTTTCCTTAAAGATTTTTTTTTTTTTTTGAATTCATTGTCCTAAATGGCAACTTTAAAATAAGCTGCTAAACCTTTTGAAGTCCAAATAAGGACCATTATCTTTTATTTCTGCAAACAAAGTTATTAAACTTAAAGTTATTGAAATTGTGGTGGTGCTGTGCATGAAAAAAAAAAAAGTGTTTATTTTGACACTTACAGCCATGTGCATAATTGTTTTTAAATAAATAAACTGAAAAAGTTTGGCTTTTTTTGTCTGCTGCTCCACAACACTCATAATTTATTCAGAGCCATATCAATAAACACATTTACAAGTACAAATATATCTCAGTAGCTCATCTATCTCCTCTCATATGCATTTACAGGGAAACTTTCATTCTTGCTGATATTTTGATGTCTTTCCAGAATGCAGACTTGAGAATGCTCTCAAACACCTGCC